GCTAATGTGATCTCTCTGATCTCAGGGCCGATGAAGTTAAAGCTGAATTAGAACTGATCAGGAATCTTTAACATTTGTGTGACTGGTTGAACATGCAGTCATATAGATTTTTAATGTTTTTATTGCTTGTATTCTCCCCTTATGTAAAAGTATATTTAATATTTGCCTATAAAAACTGTAAATACAGCAGCATGATTTCTTCATGTGTCCCTTCACAATTGTAGTCTACAGTGAGATTGATAATAATTAATAGTAGTCGCAGTCGCCACCTTTACGTTGTACTTTATTTCTGCATTTCCAGATCAGCAGAGCTCAGCGGGCTGCAAACTTGCTCCTCACTGTGAAGTCTTTAATTGTATGTTGGACTCTTTAACCTCTCTGCTCTGTGCTGTTTGCTCTTTTAGACCCGATAAGCATCACAGCTGAATCTGGTCAAACTGTCACTCTACTGTGTCGAGCTCAAAGCAGATCTGACATAACAGACGGAAATGTCTTGAAGTACCACGGTCAGCAACTTCTTCTATCATACCAGAATCCATCTTTTAAGAACCAGGTGGATCTCCAGGACAGACAGATGAAGGATGGAGACGTGTCATTGATTCTGAAGGACATGACGATTAATGACGCTGGAGCGTACGAGTGCCGTGTCATGCAGAGAGGAATAAACCAAGAGAAGCTCATCAGCAGCATCACACTGAGTGTTGTTGATCCTCCAGGTGAGTGAGTAGAGTTGAGTGTGTGTGTGATCAGAGGTGAAGCTGCTTCCTGGTTGTTGATGTTTGTTTCTAAAGATGTTGTTGATGAGACTTTGTAGAAAGCAGCTGGTCTGAGTGATGTGATCAGAGTGCAGTAGATAATGTCTGACAGCAGTTTGAAGAGGAAATGGATTCTGTTCTGTTCTTCACTCATCACCTACCTGACAGCTGACACCTCACACCTGTTTCTCACCTGCAGGTCAGCAAGATTTACCTGTTGGAGTGGTAATCGGTGCGTCAGCAGGAGCTGTAGCTCTCCTTGCTTTGAATGGGGGTGGTATTTGGATGCTTTCGTGAGCTAAAGAAAACACAAAGAGCAGTTTTATCAGAATTCAAACCATCTTGCTGTTAATCTGAAAATTAAAACAAATCATTCAATAACTGAACTGTGAGCTTTCTGTGCTTCTTGTCTGAGCAGTTATACGTAGCCATGGATATACAATCATCACACCATGCTCACTCTTATCAGACATAAGGTGTTGTTTCCACATTATCAATAAGGACTAATTTATTAATCAGACAAAATCATATCATCAGGTTTTTGCTGAGAGGAAGTAAAATTGTGTTTCAACCATGAATTAATGTTCTGTATGTGACAGTATTAAAATTACTGAATTCAAATGTTTTAGCTTCTATTTGGAATCATGAGAGTGTTTCACAGTGTGAAGATTTAATCACCACAAAAATAACATGTGTTTAAATGAAGAAATTAAACCTTAACTCTGATGGAAACACCTGAAAGTCAACATATAAAGGATGCTAAGAGTCCAAACTAGTGGTTTGTGCCTTTGAGACATTGGCGGAGCGGGGGCGTGGCTTACTGGGCTTAAGCCCGGGTTGTTTTTTCAGAAGCCCGGGGTCTTTTGGAGTGTAATTTGTTTCATAGTTAGATGCCTGACAACTGTATAAACCAAAAACTACACACAATATTCAAAGCAAATAGCGCACACAGGGGGAATTTACCACTGTGCATAAATTCCCCCTAATTTTGGTATGATCCGAGCTCAGGCACTGGGAGACTGAGCACAGCACTTACGCATGTGAGCGAGGGGGGAGAAGCTGCTGCCTGCAAGAAGCGCAGACAGGTAGACAGAGGAAAGTTTAAGTTTGACCAGATACCAAAGCAAATCATTCGTACTGTACAAATAATGTAAATATGACGGTGTAGATTGATATCAAACTGATCACTTGACCCATATTACATTAATCACTCTTCGAGTGAATCAACAAATGGCGAAATGAAAAGCCGAACAACAACAATGCTGTTTCTTTAGAGAGTCTTAGCTTACATGTGTGCTTATTTCATATTTTCAGTTGTTACCCTACACGGCTAAATAAAGCACAACATCGGTTTCAGTTATGTACTGATGTAGATTGACATTAAAGAGTTCTTTGAAAGAGAAAAACTCAGGTAAATGTTATTTTATATATTATGCTTTGTATGTTGTTCAGTATATTTCTATGCAAAATAAGATAATTTTCAATTCACAGCACTGTTGAAATCAGATAGTTACATACACTTTATTTCTTTAAAGGAGTTAAGTTGAACATCGATTTAGATTAAACTTTTTTGTTTTAAATTAATATTGAAATAACTTTTGAATTAGTTAAATGTCAGAACAAAGACAGAGACAGAGCAGTCTATTTTTTTATCACTTTCATCAAATTCAGGAGTACATATACAATAAATTTATTATGTCTTTAATTAATAAGAAAACTGCGATTCCATTCTGAGCATTCTGAGCATAAAAAGCCTCTGGTTAGTAAAGTCAATTTGAGTAAATTGGTGGCTAGGGCTGCCACGATTCGTCGACTAGTCATGATATCTGCTCAATTTACAAAGACATTGCGTGTTACTCCCCTCGAGTCGTAATGAAGCTCAACTTGTTCTTTGCATTTTAACTGACATTTATTTCGGACAGGAGGATTCTTCGACATGCCTTAACATGTAATGATGTCCAACCACAGCCGATACAATGCCCTCAGAACTAAAAGGAAATACAAACTTAAATGCATATTCTTAATAAAGCCCTTAAGCATTATATATGCATTATATATGCATTATATAAGCATTATATAAAATGATTTACGAATAAATTCTTTACAAATCCTACCATGTGAATTCATGGATTTTTTTTTCACATTCTGTCTCTCACAGTTGCAGTGTACCTCTGGTGCAAATTACTGACCTCTGTCATCATTTTAAGTGGGGGGACTTGCACAATCGGTGGCTGACTAAATACTTTTTTGCCCCACTGTAGCTACCTTTCTTTGCAAGGACACTCAAAAGCCTGCCATCCATGGATTCTGTCAGTGTTTTGATCTGTTCACCATCAACATTGCGTGCAGCAGGAACCACAGCCTCCCAGACACTGTTCAGAGAGGTGTACTGTTTTCCCTCCTTGTAAATCTCACATTTGATGATGGACCACAGGTTCTCAATGGGGTTCAGATCAGGTGAACAAGGAGGCCATGTCATTAGTTTTTCTTCTTTTATACCCTTTCTTGCCAGCCACGCTGTGGAGTACTTGGACGCGTGTGATGGAGCATTGTCCTGCATGAACATCATGTTTTTCTTGAAGGATGCAGACTTCTTCCTGTACCACTACTTGAAGAAGGTGTCTTCCAGAAACTGCCAGTAGGACTGGGAGTTGAGCTTGACTCCATCCTCAACCCGAAAAGGCCCCACAAGCTCATCTTTGATGATACCAGCCCAAACCAGTACTCCACCTCCACCTTGCTGGCGTCTGAGTGGACTGGAGCTCTCTGTCCTTTACCAATCCAGCCACGGGCCCATCCATCTGGCCCATCAAGACTCACTCTCATTTCATCAGTCCATAAAACCTTAGAAAAACCAGTCTTGAGATATTTCTTGGCCCAGTCTTGACGTTTCAGCTTGTGTGTCTTGTTCAGTGGTGGTCGTCTTTCAGCCTTTCTTACCTTGGCCATGTCTCTGAGTATTGCACACCTTGTGCTTTTGGGCACTCCAGTGATGTTGCAGCTCTGAAATATGGCCAAACTGGTGGCAAGTGGCATCTTGGCAGCTGCACGCTTGACTTTTCTCAGTTCATGGGCAGTTATTTTGCACCTTGGTTTTTCCACACGCTTCTTGCGACCCTGTTGACTATTTTGAATGAAACGCTTGATTGTTCGATGATCACGCTTCAGAAGCTTTGCAATTTTGAGACTGCTGCATCCCTCTGCAAGATATCTCACAATTTTTGACTTTTCTGAGCCTGTCAAGTTCTTCTTTTGACCCATTTTGCCAAAGGAAAGGACATTGCCTAATAATTATGCACACCTGATATAGGGTGTTGATGTCATTAGACCACACCCCTTCTCATTACAGAGATGCACATCACCTAATATGCTTAATTGGTAGTAGGCTTTGGAGCCTATACAGCTTGGAGTAAGACAACATGCATGAAGAGGATGATGTGGACAAAATACTCATTTGCCTAATAATTCTGCACTCCCTGTACTTGTTAAATGAAAAAAAATCGGCAAAAAAATATAACAGCCACACAATTACCCGTAGAGAGGGTGAAAAAACAACTCTATTGAGGCTGTTTCCAAAGAGTAATATGGGACCTCTTAATAGGATAAAGTTAATCATATATGATTGGATTTTATAGTGAGCATTGAGGGGAGTCAGAAGTGGGGTCAAAAGGGGATGGTCGGAACAGAAGGAACGATAGCTCACAGCCCAGCGTAAACGCGAGTTGCTGTATTAGGGCTTGATTTATTTGTTTGATTTATTTGTTGTGGATACAAGTAATTATGCTATAGTAATAAGGGAACATTGAAAATGTACAACTCGTTGAGGGGATGGAGGACCTAAAGGGTTGGGCAATTGAAAGGAATATGCTAGAATATAACATTTTCTTTTGTTATATTCTAGCTATTATTCTCACATGAAAGTAGACTTAATGGGATAGATTAGGAATTATGTCGTGTTTCTTGGGAAACACGAAAAGGGGAAGAACTGTCATGAAATAAATATATTGTTAGTCCTTATTTAGTGTTTATTGTTACTTGCTTTTAATATAGTTTAAAAGGGCCGTCTCTTAGTACAGTCTGTTCCAAAAGTACTGACAGGATATTACATGCATACTTTTGCAGGCAGAAAGTGAAACTAAGCAGAGTGTTTGATTGAAACTTAAAGTGTGGTGTGACGTCTAGAGGGAGTATATAAATATAACTAGGCTTCCTGTTTGTGCTTCAGACTTTGGCTGACGTGTCTGCGTGTCTGCTGGGTCTCCATATTCTGGAATATGTAAAATTAAAGATCATTTTTTGAGTTTGACCACTTTGAGCACTTTTGTCTTTTTGGCCGTAAAGAATATAAAAGAACCAGATTTAATACCGGGCAGATAACCGTATCAACATATGAGGTAAAAGTACATAAAAAAAGCTGAATTAAAACTAAGTGTTAAGAAAGGTGAAGCACTAGAGCGACATGAGGAAAAAGCTCTCGAATATGATCAATCTTCTCTCTTTGGGGAGTCTGCTGACCATTATTATCTGGTACAAGTTCGAGGACAGGTGAGTGAGTAATTACCTTTGTATTTTACAGATAAAAGCAAGAGGTCATGAAACAAAGTATTCTGATCAAAAGTAGCTTATGGCACTGTGATAAACGCTTCCCAACAGTTGGGAAGCTGTGTAAAATGCTAATATAAGCCTGAGGTTGCAGAAATACAAACATGCTTAGTTTAAGTAGAAATACACATTTCATATTTGTTAAAAAATACTCTGGTAAAAGCTGAAGTACATGTCTTCATGTCTTTGTCATTCATTCTTTCATACGTAACCACAAACCTCAGCTCTCACTCTGTATTTCCTTAGTATTTGGTAGTATACATAGTATTTGGTATGTTTGTTTTGTTTGCATTGTTCTTTTGATACGAGTTTTGTTGTGCAGTGAAAATAAAGTTAGAGTCACATGACCGGTTTACTCTGACCACACAACATTATTGGTACTGATTTGTAGATAACTGGACATGAATAACTTGTATATTACGTAATATTACACAAAAGTATATTTCTAATTAACTTGGCTGCACTTAATTTCTTTTGACAATACTTTTTTTTTAAGTTAGGATTCATTTTGAAAGAAAGGCAGACGTAAAATGTAAAGTGAAATACAAACTCATATATAGTATGGTGTTGTAAAGAGCTGAGAAACCACAAAGTGGGGAATCTACAAAGAGGTACTGAACCTTCAGATGTTGCTGTAGCTCTAGCGAGACATAGAGGACCTTCTTTCATTCAGCACATAAAAAAAACAAAAAAAAAAAACAACCAACACTGCGCTTCCAATGGGGTCAGTAACCCTGCACATGCCTTCACTTATTGTGTAACAAATATTTTTTTACCAACAACTGTAAATCAAATCAACACTGCACTATTGGTAGAAAAGACCTATAACAGCTATCTGGTAGTTCCTGTATTCCTGTATTTATGTGTCCTTACAGGCACAATCGCACACGTTTACACACAAATGTTACCAGAAACATATTCCGATTACTATATGCAGATATACTATACGTGTTTCTTACTGTCACTGTTGATATTGATTATATATAGCCATATAGGAGTGCTAAATGGGGATTCTAAATATCTTAATACTAGTAAATAACGTACTCTGGACCGCTTCTTCAAGTTCCAATAAGGTTAATTCTTTTATCATTAAAACTATACTTAAAACTTCAATTCCTTTTGTTTGCAGTGACAGCATTTAGGGAATTCTATTGGTATCTAGCGATGGTTAATATCACACTCTAGCTTGTAACCAAATATCATGTCACATTTGAGCTCTGACTTTTACACTGACTCACTGACTTTTAAACACCCTCATCATCTTAAATTGAAACTGATCTCTGGCACCACTGATGTGACTGAACTATGACTGTAAACACGAAAGCTGTTCTGCAACTGTTCAACAACAACAGCAATGCTGTAAACTTCAAAACAATACTGCAGACTAACCAAATTTCCCCTTGTGGGGACAATTAAAGGATTATTCTATTCTATTCTATTCTATTCTGTTTAGCCTGCACCAAACTGTCTGTGCTTTATAGCACAGCAGCTGCCAATAACACAGTTGGTATATTCGAGTTGACATTTAAGACTATTAAAAAACAAAACAAACAAACAAACAAAAACCTCATTGTTTATAGACACAATATCTGATACAAACATCTCTCAAGTGAATTAAGGCATTACTTGTAATCTTTAAATTTCCAACAACTCATATACCCCTCTAATAATATCTTAAATATTTAACATACATAAGAACATAATTTTATCTCTTATTTGTTTCTCACAGTTTTGTCGAGCTTCACCGACCAAATCCTCAAAGAAGTGCCCCAAAGCCCTCTGAACTTTGCAAAGGCTGCAAGTAAGAGCAAACATTGCCATGACTTGTTCATTAAGAAATTACAATTTTTATGTCAAGATTAAGTCATGTAAGCCCCCTGCAGGAAGGAGTAGGTCTAAGGAGCTTGGAAAGAAAAGTGTCAGAACTTCTTTATTTTTCTTGAAAACGTCAACATGGTCAACATGACCCCCCTTGGGGGACACTGCCACCACATCCACCATTTGCTCTTTGAACTGAAGAAGCTTCTCGGGTGAGAGGTGAAACGTCTTAAAGGAAAATTTTAAAAGTCCAGACGCTTTTCTTTTCAAGCTCCTTAGACTACGATGACCTGGATGACTGAGAACCTTCACAGACACCCAGTGCAGGAAGGTTACTAAATGTACTGGAATGCTTGTGCATTACAGGGAAGTCATTGATGAAGTGAAAAAGCTCTACAATCAAACGTGGAAAAAGCATGAGGAGAATTACCAAAGATTCAAGTAAGACCTAACATCCTGATATTATTGATTGATGGTTGAGTTTTATTTTTATGTGAATTTCTGGTTAATAATAACTAAATTAATAAAAATTGTCTGAAGCTAGTATGTGAGTACGAGCATGGAAGATGGCAGACTACAGGAAACAACTGCTATTTATCCTCAAATGCAGATGAGGCAGGATTACTCCTAAAGGTCTTTAAACAAGCTCTTCAGTCAAGGCTAAGAGCCATTTGCTAAACGAAATGGCTAAACAAAATTTCCCGTCAATACTAATTTTAGTTAAGAAGACACGTGAAAAGGGGACCTTTGACTAGCCCACAATTAAAAGTCTAAGACCAGCCAGAAAGAAATAAAGGTTTGGTTTACTTGTTTAGCAGACTCACACTCAGGATGTGTACAAGTGGGTGGAAAATTGTCTGAGAGGCAACTAAATCAAGTAGAGAAAATTCTCTTGCAAAAATGTTGAACTTTGCTGTGATGTAGAGACAAATTCCACTAGTGGAGCTGATCACAGCCACAGATTCAGAAACCTGAACCAACACTGCGGATGTGGACGCAGAGCAACTGTGAATGATGGTTTTGGCCTCCTCAGCAATGCAAATCTTCCAGCATCCATGGAGGAGAGGAAGGCGGTCGTGTCGCTTAGTGAGGACAACATAATCGTCATCTGACAGACAAGAGCGGGCCAAAGGTTTTACAAAATTGTTGGGTTTTTGAGAAAGAAGACAAATAAGTAAATTTATTACATTTATTAAGCAATTCAAGGTTCAAGGTTAAAACGGCTGCCTTGTCTGTGCTCACTCAGGAGACCCAAATGAGCAAAGAGCACCACACCCAGGCAGTGTACGCCTTTAAACAGAATCTTAACATGCTTAGTTGAAACAATTGAGGGTGGCCTTAGGTCTGATATCTGCTCAGGTTTCTTCCTCTTCACCTCTCTGGACGTCTTCTTGTATAGACATGATCCTTTTTCAGGAAAAAAAAAATCCCATTACCATAGCAACCACCTCTTGCACTCTGCTCAGGCCTGCATACAGAGATAGGGAGGGGGGAAGGAAAAGGAAAGTGTACCTTCTGGTGCCATCAGCAGTCCAGGCAGACCATCCCCCTCAAATTCCTCAGAGAAGGGGTTTCTGTCCAATCACTTTACGGCTCTCCAGATAAATGGTGTGGTCTGTAGTGTAAGTCACAGGGATGGGCACATATGGTACTTTTCTGTCTGGGGTTTTCACCATTACATCATTGAATATTACGCCCTCTGGTGGTGGGTCAGCCCCATCAGGTAGAAAGAGCATGTCTGGGCCCCGGGCATGTGAACTAATGTGTGCCTGTACATAAACTGTGGTGACTTGGTTAGCTGACAAAGGCACTCTTCTTATGCCAGTCCTTACCACACCTGTCTCTGGGCATTCACTGCTGTTCTGCACAAGCTTGTCAACATTATGTGCAGTGCGTACAGTTATTTCAAATGCTTTACTCACATACAGTGGGGCAAAAAAGTATTTAGTCAGCCATCGATTGTGCAAATTCCCCCACTTAAAATGATGACAGAGGTCAGTAATTTGCACCAGAGGTACACTTCAACTGTGAGAGACAGAATGTGAAAAAAAAAAATCCATGAATTCACATGGTAGGATTTGTAAAGAATTTATTCGTAAATTAGGGTGGAAAATAAGTATTTGGTCACCTCAAACAAGGAAAATCTCTGGGTCTCACAGACCTGTAACGTCTTCTGTAAGAAGCTTTTCTGTCCCCCACTCGTTACTTGTATGAATGGCACCTGTTTGAACTCATCATCTGTATAAAAGACACCTGTCCACAGCCTCAAACAGTCAGACTCCAAACTCCGCCATGGCCAAGACCAAAGAGCTTTCGAAGGACACCAGGAAAAGTATTGTAGACCTGCACCAGACTGGGAAGAGTGAATCTACAATAGGCAAGCAGCTTGGTGTGAAAAAATCAACTGTGGGAGCAATCATCAGAAAATGGAAGACATACAAGACCACTGATAATCTCCCTCGATCTGGGGCTCCACGCAAGATCTCATCCCGTGGGGTCAAAATGATCATGAGAACGGTGAGCAAAGATCCCAGAACCACACGGGGGGACCTGGTGAATGACCTGCAGAGAGCTGGGACCAAAGTAACAAAGGTCACCATCAGTAACACACTACAACGGCAGGGAATCAAATCCCGCAGTGCCAGACGTGTTCCGCTGCTGAAGCCAGTGCATGTCCAGGCCCGTCTGAAGTTTGCCAGAGAGCACATGGATGATACAGCAGAGGATTGGGAGAATGTCATGTGATCAGATGGAACCAAAGTAGAACTTTTTGGTATAAACTCAACTCGTCGTGTTTGGAGGAAGAAGAATACTGAGTTGCATCCCAAGAACACCATACCTACTGTGAAGCATGGGGGTGGAAACATCATGCTATGGGGCTGTTTTTCTGCCAAGGGGACAGGACGACTGATCCGTGTTAAGGACAGAATGAATGGGGCCATGTATCGTGAGATTTTGAGCCAAAACCTCCTTCCATCAGTGAGAACTTTGAAGATGAAATGAGGCTGGGTCTTCCAACATGACAATGATCCAAAACACACCGCCCGGGCAACAAAGGAGTGGCTCCGTAAGAAGCATTTGAAAGTCCTGGAGTGGCCTAGCCAGTCTCCAGACCTCAACCCCATAGAAAATCTGTGGCGGGAGATGAAAGTCCGTGTTGCTCGGCGACAGCCCCAAAACATCACTGCTCTCGAGAAGATCTGCATGGAGGAACGGGCCAAAATACCAGCTACTGTGTGTGCAAACCTGGTAAAGACCTATAGTAAACGTTTGACCTCTGTTATTGCCAACAAAGGTTATGTTACAAAGTATTGAGTTGTATTTTTGTTATTGACCAAATACTTATTTTCCACCCTGATTTACGAATAAATAAATTTTTTTTTCACATTCTCTCTCTCACAGTTGAAGTGTACCTCTGGTGCAAATTACTGACCTCTGTCATCATTTTAGGTGGGGGAACTTGCACAATCGGTGGCTGACTAAATACTTTTTTGCCCCACTGTAGTATGCTAGCTGTTTTCTTCCTCCTTTGGTTTTTACTTCTTCCTGGTTCACGATAGCTTCAATGACATTATAGCCGATGATGGGATCACTGGCCACAGCCGGGTCACTGGATACCAATATTGGAACTTGCAGCTCACTGCTTGGAGACAAATCCCTGCCTAATCTGAAGATGGCTTGTATCCAGCCAATGCAGGGAATGGGTGTGTCATTTGCAGCAAACACTGTGAGAGTCTCATTGTCTAACAGCTCTGAAACGGGTCTGACGACCGTGTGAGGGAGGTGGTTTTGCCGCCAGTTTTCATTTACTATGCTGGATTGTGCCCCTGAATCCCATAACACCTTGGCTGGGTGATTGTCCATAAAACAGTTCACAGTACATCTGTTTCCCACCAGGCTAACTAACCGTGACTTTCGTTGAGGGGGTAGATAGTGAACCTCAGTTACAGCTGATGGGACACTTGCTGCAGTTTCTTTGGAAGATGTTGGTGAGCTTGGCTGTTCGTTATGGGACCGTGGGCTTTGGACTACTGTTGGTCCCATCTTAGTAGTCCCTCCCCGTTTCCCGATGACAGTCTCGGTGCTCGGCATCCACGGGAGTAGTGGCCCTCTTGCCCACATTGGAAACAGTGCATGCAGTTCTCCCCTTTCCCCTCTTCTTTGCACTTTTTACAGCCCTTTTTTCGTTGCATTGGTGCCATGGTGTGGGGACTGGTTTCCATAGCAGCCATAAACATTTGTTTCATCTCTTTATGTATTTCTTCTATAATCTGCTGCGTGTCTGACTTAGTCTCTTTATTTTTCACTGTTGTCATGGCCACTGTAGCGGGGGATTCTCTGGGTTTGGAGGGGCTCTGAGGAGATGTCAGGGCTGTTTGGCATTCTGTTTGGAGCTCTTGGACCTTGGGAATCTTGGCTGCAGCGGACCTTTTCCGTTTCTCAAATCTTTCATTTTCTAGCTTTGAAGCTTCATTGACTTTCTCAATCAGTTCTTCATCTTTTATGGTTATGTCGTTTAGGAGGGACAGTAGCTGATACTTGATAACAGTCACTGAGTAGCCCAGTTTCAATGGAGCGGAGGATTTTGCGCTGGATGGTGGATCTTGTTTGATTAATCAGTTCTTTCGGCGCGCGGGCCGTACCCTGCCTCTCCACCGCTGACACTACTTCTTCTAGTGTAGCGTCAGCTACCGATGCGTACAGGACCGAGCACCCTCTGCTGGAGGAACTTATATAACAGTAAAACTGACATATCAGTGGCCTTACTAAAAGAAAGTGTCTTTGAGTATAAAATAAAATGGCGGGGGAGGGGGGCGGGGTGTACTATTTTCACGTCTCTGTCTGTAACATAGTGCCACAGTAGGCCTGTGGTGATCAGCAGTTGTTTTACAAGCTAGTGTCCTGTATGGCAGTTTGTGCCAGAGAAACCACTTCTGCATCAATTTTTCATTTAATAACTTTTAAGTGGGCTGAGATCAATTTCTTTGCCTTGAGATACTCTTGGATCCTTTTGCAGTGTGCTTTCGGTCATCATCCTTTCATACTTTGAAACTTCTGTCGTGGAAGTTTTAAAGAAACTGCAAACACCTGGTGAGTGTCGTTTTGAAGTGGGTTTAATTACATGTTGTGCCAAGATAAGGACAAGGAGTCCCACCATCTGTTTAATGTCTCACATTATAGTGTTTTAAATAAAATAAAAGCCTTTTATATAGAATTAGCAGAAATGACAATGACAAAACAGATACATTGTATTTTACTCTAAAGCAGGGGTGTCAAACTCAAATACACAGTGGGCCAAAATTCAAAACTGGAACAAAGTCGCGGGCTAACGTTAATATTTAATAAAAAAATCTTCCTCCAGATATAAGAATGAATCTTTTCTTATGGACTCAAACAAGTTTTGCTGAAAAACTGAATATGGAACAAGCAAAGCTTGTTACTAAACTATATACACTCAACAAAAATATAAACGCAACACCTTTGTTACTGCTCCCATTCCCCATGGGATGGACGTAGAGACCTAAAATTCATTCCAGATACACAATATAACCATCCCTCCCAAACAGTGGTCACAAATCAGTCCAAATGTGTGGTAGTGGGCACATCTGCCATATTGAGATAATCCATCCCACCTCACAGGTGTGCCACATCAGGATGCTGATCTGACATCATGAGTAGTGCACAGGTGTACCTCAGACTGCCCACAACAAAAGGCCACCCTGGAATGTGCAGTTTTTTGCGCTATTGGGGGTCTGGGGACCCAGAACCGGTCAGTATCTGGTGTGACCACCATTTGCCTCATGCAGTGCAACACATCGTCGCATGGAGTCTATCAGATTGTCACTTGTGGCCTGTGGAATGTTGGTCCACTCCACTTCAATGGCTGTGCGAGGTTGTTGGATATTCGTGGGAACTGGTACACGCTGTCGTATACGCCGGTCAAGCACATCCCGAACATGCTCAATGGGTGACATGTCCGGTGAGTATGCTGGCCATGCAAGAACTGGGACATTCTCAGCTGCCATCTGCCCTGAACAATGTGAACCATGATTCATCCGTGAAGCGCACACCTCTCCAACGTGCCAGACGCCATCGAATGTGAGCATTTGCCCACACAAGTCTGTTACGGCGACGAGCTGGAGTCAGGTCAAGACCCCGATGAGGACGACGGGCATGCAGTTGAGCGTCCCTGAGACGGTTTCTGACAGTTTGTGCAGAAATTGTTTGGTTGTGCAAACCAATTGTTCCAGCAGCTGTCTGGGTGGCTGGTCTCAGACGATCTTGGAGGTGAACCTGCTGGATGTGGAGGTCCTGGGCTGGTGTGGTTACACGAGGTCTGCGGTTGTGAGGCCGGTTGGATGTGCTGCCATATTCTCTGAAACGCCTGTGGAGACGGCTTATGGTTGAGAAATGAACATTCAATGCACGGGCGACAGATCTGGTTGACATTCCTGCTGTCAGCATGCCAATTGCACGCTCCCTCATTGCTTGTGGCATCTGTGGCATTTTGCTGTGAGACAAAACTGCACATTCCAGGGTGGCCTTTTGTTGTGGGCAGTCTGAGGTACACCTGTGCACTACTCATGATGTCAGATCAGCATCCTGATGTGGCACACCTGTGAGGTGGGATGGATTATCTCAATATGGCAGATGTGCCCACTACCACACATTTGGACTGATTTGTGACCACTGTTTGGGAGGGATGGTTATATTGTGTATCTGGAATGAATTTTAGGTCTCTACGTCCATCCCATGGGGAATGGGAGCAGTAACAAAGGTGTTGCGTTTATATTTTTGTTGAGTGTATATATATTAGCTGTATAATACCAGTAGGCCAGCTCTAATAGTAATTTGGTATGGCTTTGAGGGCCAAATGTAATTAGGCTGCGGGCCAAATTTGGCCCGCGGGCCAGAGTTTGACACCTATGCTCTAAAGATTGCAAATCTTTCCACTTAATACTAAAGCTAACTTTATTTATTTATTTTTTGTCGGGTCCTATTTGTTTGTTTGTTTTTTCAAGATTACAGGTGAGAATTAATGGCGATGGATCCAACAATGCCATTGTCACTCAGGAAAACACTCCAGTGGGATCTAAGATTGTTTGTCACAGGGACAGAACCGTCATCCCTGTGACTCCAGAGCTTTTCAAGATCTTAATAAAAGTATGTTTTTCTTAAATTCTTAATTTTTTCTTCAGGTCTTCGTTATTCATCAAATGTTCCAACATTTGTTCCATGTTCCATGTGTTGAAACCACATGTTTAGTCACATGTTAAATCTTTGATAAACAGGGACCTTTACCCTTAATGGATTAAATCAAATATAATTCTTTAGTGTCTTCTGAAATTAGCTGCCTAGAGTACTTTTGCAGCAATTCATCTGTATTAATAACTTTGTGGATGCTCCTTGTTTCATCCTGAGTTCTGCCTCTTACACTCACTAGCTAATTTATAGAGCAGGCATCAGCTTAATTTTGAAATTTAGTTATCAGGCTGTGCGAAATGTAATACTGCTATAACTTTAATTAATTAATTGTAATACATTTTAATATTTGTAAATGGACTGATTCTTATATAGCGCTTTTCTACTCTCCCGGAGTACTCAAAGCACTGTATACAATATACCTCATTCACACCCACTCATGCAAGCACTTCTAAACGCAAGTGCACACAGCACACAGTACATTCACACACAGTCACACTCTGATGAACGCATCGGAGGGAGATTTGGGGTTATTATCTTGCCCAAGGACACTTGACATTCAGACTGGGGAAGCTTAGGATCGAACCACCAAACTTCTGATTAGTAGCTGATCTGCTCTACCACCTGAGCCACAGCCACCTACAAATTTGTCAGTATATTAAAAAAATCCACCAAGGTCTTCAAGTCTAAGTTAATGATTTACTGGTTGAAAACTGACAACCCCCCCCCCCCCCAAAAAAAAAACAAAAACAACAAAAAAAAAAAACAAAAAAACATAACTTAGAATCAATGATTCCTATATTAGTGGTTTATATTGTCAATATATAGAGAGTACCATATAAAGATTTAAAAAGTCACATTCCTTGAAGGTCAATTGTATGGCCTGTATTTGTATAGCACTTTACTCAGTCCCTAAGGACCCCAAAGCGCTTTACACGTTCAGTCATCCACCCATTCACACACTCGTGATGGCAAGCTACATTGTAGCCACAGCCGCCCTGGGGCACACTGACAAAGGCGAGGCTGCCGGACACTGGCGCCCTCTGACCACCACCAGTAGGCAACGGGTGAAGTGTCTTACCCAAGGACACAACGACCGACACTGTCTGAGCCGGGGCTCGAACCGGCAACCTTCCGATTACAAGACGAACTGCCAACTCTTGAGCCTTGATCGCCCCATGTAAGGAATTATATGGGGTTTCACTAAGTTTCACATTCGTTTGGACCTTTGACTCCTTCTTCAAGCTCAAATAAGGTCAAACTTGTATAAAGTGGATTTCTTCTTGAAAACTAACTGCTTGTGTTTGCACTTGCAACATTTAGGAAGTGACACTGGTATATGGGGATTATAGTTTCCAAATATCATTTGACCTAACCTTTACATTTCACATCTGCTTCTCTTTCAAATTGACCTAAAATCTTTAACAGAAAGAATTTAAAGAATTAGCTGACGTATTTAGAAATTTACTGTGGCACAATAATATTTAACAAGCTCAATTTATTATACAGATATTTACATTACCAGTTTATTATCGATTTACCTACTCTTAAATAATGTTTGTGTAAAAATAAAATCCACATAAACATCTGTCATGTAATCCTAATCTAAGTAAACTTCAACTTTCAAGTATGCCCTACACTTATTGTCTCCTTCTATTCTAGGAGAGATTCACAAATACTGGGCCAAAGATTCACTTGGACTTAAAAAGAGACTGACTTTCAAAACAGATTTTGATAACAGGGACCTCATGAATTCATTGTTTTCAATAACAAAAGGGTTTGCACAGTAACTAGAACTAACCACCGTATATGTAATATCACATATATAATGATATCATGAAAGATTTCAATTCCAAGTAACTGATAATTCAGTTCTAATGTTTAAAGGCAATCGGATTAAACAGGTCTATACATTTCCCTAAAAGTTTTAACGTGATAACCTTATCACTGACCTCTTCCTACATGTTTGCCATCTTCCATTAAACTCAGTGAGCACTTTTCTTTCACACAAAGTACATTTCAAACTGTTTAAATTTTGCTCTTTTTGTAATTTATAATCTGTTGGTGTCAATTCCAGGAGAATCCTTTCTCAAAAAAGAGATGGGACACTTGTTCAGTTGTTGGGAGCGGTGGGATTCTGACAAACAGCGGCTGTGGAAAAATGATTGATTCAACTGATTTTGTTATTAGGTGAGAAAGATGTCAAGAACAAAAATCATGATGAGGACTCTTCTCTCTGTAAGTAATATTTTGTTTTTTTTTTCAGGTGCAACCTTCCTCCTCTGGAAAATGAATTTAAGAGTGATGTTGGCATGAAGACTAACCTTGTGACAGCAAATCCAAGCATCTTAACAAAGAAGTGAGACAAGAGTGACTCTAACATTGAAGTGACCTGTTAGTTTTGTCTTGTTTCTTTAACTAATATATTATTTTGCAGGTATGGGTCACTGATGGCACGTCGACGGGCGTTTGTAGACAGTCTCCACCAGTATGGCAACTCCCTGCTCCTCTTTCCTTGCTTCTCTTCTAGTGGTAGTCGTGCAGCGTGTCAGCGGGCTGTGTATGCCATTGAGGACATGGAAATTCCTGTCCAACCAATCTTCATAAACCCTCAGTACTTACAAAGTATGGACAAATTCTGGAAATCTCAGGGGGTAAATGGACATCGGCCTAGCACTGGAGCATATATGATTAGTCTGGCTTTGGAATTATGTGAAACTGTTCATCTTTATGGATTCTGGCCATTTAGTAATCATCCATATAAGCTCTTTCCCCTGACTAACCACTACTATGATAATGTACCCTATAATAGTAGAATCCATGCAATGCCAGATGAGTTTTACTACTGGGTGCAACTGCACAACAAGGGCATTCTCAAACTTCATCTTGAAGACTGTAAATCAGATCAGGCCTAGTTTATATGATGGAATAAAATAAAAAAGAGGTACTCTTCCTTTGAAAGAGCCAAGAGCCTTCCTTTCCACTTCCTCCATGTAAAGGTTGGCTGTGTAGCAGGTTGAAAAAGCTACATGTTTATTTTTGTAAGAAAACCAATTACCCCTTTATTTTTTGTTTATTATTGTGACTTATTTTGACATTGTTATGTGTTGCCAGACCATGGTTATATTTCATTATGCTAGTAGATGGTGGTCTTGCACTGCTGTGGAACTACCAGAGACTCTAGCTATAGGCTCTGCGCATGCGCAGCTCAGAAATAAATGAGCTCCGGCCTGAGCAAGACGCTAACTTCGGTGTCCTCTCTATTAATCCACAGGTACTGACAAACAAACTTTTATGTTACCAAACTGGTTCTAAATGTCATGTAAGTTGAGTAACAACTGTTCAGCTATATTTTGAGATGAGAGTGATGATGTTGTTTTGTGGTATTTTGTTGTAATGAGTATTAGTGTATCATCGGCATAATGCTACGTAGCACTATAAGTATATGCTATGACAGTGGCAACCTGCGACTTCCGAAAATGTGTTGTAGTGTTTGTTTTAGTGTTAGCCAAGCAGTACTGAGTACATGTATTACGGGGAAAGCTTTTAGTTGGTGAAACAACGTTTGCAGTCGTCTGCCGCCATGTTGTGTTGCATTCAGGGGACGCCATGTTCAAAAGTAATAGCGTATATGGCGCGAATGTGGGGAAAGGTTGTGTGAATGTGAGATGGGTTATTTTGGTATGTTGTTCTGCTTTAGCCGCGAGTGTTTTGTTTAAGTTGTAAGTATGTAAAGTCATTTTGAATTAGTTTGTATTTATTTTGCTTTTGAGAGAATGCTTTTTGTAGCTTTATTTTTGTTTATGAACTCTGTTATTTTATGGGAAGAATGCATGGTCTAGTGTGATTTGTATTGTGTATATGTGGAGAAATAAATGAGCTCCGGCCTGAGCAAGACGCTAACTTCGGTGTCCTCTCTATTAATCCACAGTTTGCTCATATTTGGCTACGCAGTGCTCTCTAGCCTGTGTGCCGCTTGCTGCCGGTCCAGATTCCCCTAGGTCTGGTGCCGGTAACAGCTGCAATAGGTGACACGGGGGAATTTGAAGTATGTTGTGGTAAGGCAGAGGTCTAACAGTGTGCAGATCTGATTGGGTGTGAAGTTGGTCCTGTCTTCCAAGGAGCTGTCTTCTTGTAGTCGTTTTCTGACAGTCTCCACAGCCTCCGTGGTGGATATGCAAGTGAAGAGAGAGACTACATCAAAGGACACCATGGTTTCATCTGGATCCAGGGTAAGTTTCTGGACCTTGTCGGTGAAGTCGGTGGAGTTCTTGATGTGGTGTGGGGTGTTCCCCACGAGAGGTGCAAGGATGGTAGCAAGGTGTTTTGCAATGTTATAAGTGGCTGAGTTTATGCTACTGACTATGGGTCGGAGTGGGACAGCTTCCATGTGGATTTTAGGAAGTCCGTAAATGCAGGGTATGGTATCCCCTGGATAAAGGCGATGATATGTAAGGCGGTCAATGATTTTTCAAGGTCCTGAAGGCAAGCTATAACTTTCTTTTTGTAGCTGCTTGTGGGGTCTCGTTTTAAGGCTTTGTAGGTATGGTTGTCACCGAGGAGAGTAGTAATCTTTGTGTGGTAATCTGTAATGTTTAGGACCACCGTTGTCGACATAGTGGACAGAATTCCCAACATTCTGGCATCCCACCCACAGGCCAACTGGCTCATCATCCACATCGGCACCAATGACATCCCCAAACAGCAATATGAGCTGCTGAGGCTTCAGCCTCCTTTGTCAGTCGCAGGTGAGTGCTTTTATCTCCGGGCCCACCCCCACCTGTGGCAGAGGGATAGGCCGTTTCAGCCGGCTGCTCAGCCTTAACACCTGGCTTTCCTCCGCCTGTGTCTCCCACGGTGTGGGTTTGGTGTCCTGCAAGTTTTAGATCTCACCCTGGGTCAACACACCCGAATCAAATGATTAGTTCATTACCAGGCCTCTGGAGACCTTCAAGACATGTTGAGGAGGTAGTTTAGCCATTTAAATCAGCTGTGTTGGATCAAGAACACATCTAAAACCTGCAGGACACCGACCCTCGAGACTGGAGTTCCCCCACCCCTGGTTTAGTGGGTGGCAATGGGAGCCATACTGGAATTCACCAGGAACAGTAACGGCACAAAAATAATCAGAAATACAGCAATTGCACCATATTGCTGCAGTACCTGCAGTAACTGAGATGCTACACTGGTCTGTTGTAGTAAAGAGAGAGTTGACAATTTACAGCTTGATCTGATCATTCAGTAAGGGCTCAGAGTAGAGACTTTAATCCTCCACATTGGAAAGTATTAATTTGAGGTGATTGAGAATCTGACCTGGATGTCTCCTGGGCACCTCCTACAGTAGGTGAGGAGTTTGGGGCGTGCCCTTCTGGCAATAGGTACTGGGGGCAGATCCAGGACACATTGAAGGTTTTATATCTCTGGTGTGGCTTGTTGTGTATTTATTTAAATTATTTTACTAACAGTGTTGTATGTTATTATTATTTTAATACAGCGTTGTTATGTTTGCAGCTATTGGACCTGCAGTAATCTAAATGTTCTTCGTTGAACAGGAAGTGATGCAGATGCAGTCTACAGCAGTGAGAACATATGAAGATGTCAGTGATGGACAAATAGCCAACAGACCAAATGGCACGAGAGGTATAGCCAGTGTTCGTTTCCAGTAAAAGTGGACCTATTCTGCTTTTCTTCTTCCCTGTCAAATGCTTTTCACTGTTAGATGTTCATATTAAGGTGGCTAAGGTGCCAATTAAAGATGTCAATGTATGCACCAGTAATTCCTAAGCGATTAAAACATCTGCAAAACAGGTCAGAGGATGAGGCACATAATGTACCAGTACAGTTTAAAGATAAAAGTGTAGAGCTGAAAAGGATCAGGACAGGTTCGCTTCAAACAATTTGACATGACCAATTGTTTGTTTTTTACAAAGGAAAAAAATCCTCTTCTTTGAATGCAGAATTTATTTTGACACCAGCCAGCTTCCCATCTTAATGTTTGAATTTGTGCTGAATTTAGGAAAACCAACCAAATAAAAACCAAACAATTTTGCATCAATGTAGATAACTCACATAATAGTATGTACTCATACTAGCATACCTGAAACCTCATAGCTCACTACGGTCTACTAGACATCAATTTATTTTCAAAGCAACATGGAAAAAAGGGCAGCAAATCAATCTGTATAATCAATCTGTATAAAAAGTTGTTTCTGCAAAAGAGGGAAGCTGTACAGTTTTCACAGTTTCTCATTTTGAATGTATTACAGCTCTACAGTCTTATCCGATAAGAAGTAAAGTTTCTACCAGTCAATAGAGCACAGGTGCTACCCTTGAATTGTAATTTTTAAACCATGAAAGTGGCCCTTATGGGAAGCATTTTTAATGCTTCTTTCCTGTTTATGTCAGGGGGGCAGATACGAGGCCTGTGTTTCCTTTTGTTTTCATTTGATGTAAGTTAGATCATTATATGTGAGAATGTTTTTGTTTGCTATTTCGGCCATGCTCACCCTGACGTTTTGTTATGGACTGCAGATTCTTCGGAACATGGGAATCATGTTAAGCTCAGGTTTCTCTAAAGCTGGGAAATATCCAGCAAATATGTCCCTTTGTGGTCCATGCTATGGCTGTGTGGGCCAATATGGGTGTCACACTAGTGTAGACTACCTACACTAAGCAAGGAGGGGGGGCCAACAATAAGGGTCAATGTGGGCCTGTGATGTACCCACAGTATGCCCACACTCTGGGTTTGGGCTGTCCATACGGGCCCCACCTGGACTCCACAGTGTGCGTCCTAGGTGTTAGGCAGAGTAGAGCTGGTTTTCCTCATCAAAAGGAGTCATTTGAGGTAGTTCGGCCATCTGAATAGGATGCATCCTGGGTGAGGTGTTTCAAGCATGTTCTACTGGGAGGAGGCTTCGGTGCAGACCCAGTGATCAAGTGATCAAGGAAATCTACACTTTTCTGCTTAGACCGCTCTCCCTAGAGGACCTGAACCCAGATAAGTGGCAGAAAATAATGGATTGGAGTTTTTGATTAAACTCCAAAGGTTGTTATCATGTGTCCCGTTCTTTGAACTGTGTGTTTGTGTTCAGGCTTTAAACGACTGACAGATATCCTCTACTCTAAGGTGCAGTAGTCCACCAGTCCAACTGCCGCAATCCAGCTGCTTGTCTCTAACTGACTCCCCCAACACCTCAGACCAGAGGACATCATAATGTTCAAAAGTATATTTTATTTATATCCCTGTGTTAATTACAATAAACGCAACCAAAAAACCCCCCCTACATATTACTTAAAGGCACAACCACACACTTATTTAAAAGACAAATACAAACTTACAGTTGTTTGTCCTCAGTGATCAATGTTACTTGTATGTCGTTCATATTTGTCTGATCCTGCTCTTATTCCCACAGTAGAGATTGTGCTTAGTAAAAAAAAAAAAAAAAAAAATCAATATTTTTTCTTGTGTGGTTCTGTGGGTTTCAACAAAGTTTCAGATGAAAAATGTAAGTTGTTTTGTTTTGATTGTGGCTAACCGCTACACTTCTCTCTTCAGTGCAGGAAATAAAGAATTAACTTCTTAAACCGCAACCTCAGACTAAGAACAGCATGAAAACCCTTGAGTGGCTGCAAACTGCGCAGAAAGCCTTAGTATATGACTTATGTGTTTAAAGCTATTTGTAAAGCCCAAGCTGGAAATGAGTCCCATTTAAAGTTTGCTGCCTTCTATTTCTTAAAACTGGGTCTTACAGCATAGCAGCTACTTTATAAATGGCAACAGTTTAATCTCTTTAACATCACTACTATTGTCACTATAAAATGTGATACTTACCTGGTTCTTCATAAATAATGCAAATTACCCATCCATGTTCTTCCACTTATCCAATCACAGTTGAGCTTGACTCCATCCTCAACCCGAAAAGGCCCCACAAGCTCATCTTTGATGATACCAGCCCAAACCAGTACTCCACCTCCACCTTGCTGGCGTCTGAGTCGGACTGGAGCTCTCTGCCCTTTACCAATCCAGCCACGGGCCCATCCATCTGGCCCATCAAGACTCACTCTCATTTCATCAGTCCATAAAACCTTAGAAAAATCAGTCTTGAGGTATTTCTTAGCCCAGTCTTGACGTTTCAGCTTGTGTGTCTTGTTCAGTGGTGGTCGTCTTTCAGCCTTTCTTACCTTGGCCATGTCTCTGAGTATTGCACAATGTTAGATTATAATATTATTTTATGCCATGTTAGACCCCTAATTAAAGATTGTGAATTATTATGTAGTTCTAGTTTGCATTATTCTC